ATATATATATATAGTGATTTCTTGCTGTTCAGCCCACTGGCATGAGGGGAAGGGCTGGAAACTCACTCTGCCTCAGGGAAAGTTGAGGCAGAGTAAGCCCTAAATGAAGTCTCTTAGCTGCTTATTAACACTGACCTGATGCTCTGGACAAACTGAGAGGTGAAAAGTTACACCCAGGTTCTCCCACCCCTCCCGACCTGCTTGGAGACCTCCAGTAAACCCTTCTGGCCTGCAGAAAACACTTACCTCTTCTTGCAGATGAGGACCACCAGCAAGGCAACGAGGCCAGTGATGAGTGTCAGGCAGATCCAGACAATCGTCATCGTGTCGTACCGGAGAGACACTGGGAGCAGCAGGGAAGGAAGGAGGTGAGTGCAATGGGGAGTGCTCTGCTGTGCTCAGAAGTTTACCTACCCCAATGGGGTCAAGGTCTTCAAAGATAAAGCCCTATCCATCCCCAGCTTTGGGCCTCTCAGTGTACTGGGACCATTTAGATATGGGGAAAGCAAGCAGAGGTCTGGGAAGCCACAGTGATACAGCAAACCAGCAAAGAGAGCAGTTTGGAGCCTCCAGACCTCTCAGGTCTGCCCTGCCCTGACTGCTATGTCCTTCCTCCCTCTTCTTTCTACTCTATAAGCTCACAGATACATTAAGGTTGGAAAAACCTCTAAGAACACTGAGTCCAACAATTGACCCAGCACTGTCAGGGCCACCACAAACCCATGTCCCTCAGCACCACATCTATGTGGGTTTTGAACATTTCCAGGGCTGGTCACTCCACCACTGCCCTGCGCAGCCTGTGCCTGTGTCCTTTCAGTGAAGGAATTATTCCTAATATCCAAACTAACCCTCTCCCTGTGCAACTTGAGGCTGTTCCCATTGTCCTAAACATCTCAAGGGGGCAACCTCAAGCAATCCCTGCAGGCTGGAACCCCAGGAGATGTGCCTTCAGGCTCCACCTCCAGGAGGGCACCCTCAAGCAATCCCTGCAGGCTGGAACCCCAGGAGATGTGCCTTCAGGAGAGCAACCTCAAGCAATCCCTGCAGGCTGGAACCCCAGGAGATGTGCCTCCAGGCTCCATCCCTGCATGTCACAGGAACAATGGCCATGGAGAAGGGCATCAGCGTCCCCCATGCTCCCTGCTCCACACTTCCCACATCCCAGAGCTGCACACACTCACCTGGCTTCCCTGTCTCCACCTCCACAGTCTGCTCCATCCCTGCATGGCACAGGAACAATGGCCATGGAGAAGGGCATCAGCGTCCCCCATGCTCCCTGCTCCACACTTCCCACATCCCAGAGCTGCACACACTCACCTGGCTTCCCTGTCTCCACCTCCACAGTCTGGCTGAACCTCCCACAGCCAGCAGAGGTGCGAGCCCGAACCTGGAAGATGTAGCGGGTTGCAGGTTTGAGCCCAGAGATGGTGGCAGTGGTGCCCTTGGATTTCAGAGTCGAATAGCTCTGCATTTCTTTGTCCTGGGGATAAACCAACACCAAACCCCTCACTGCAGCAGCACAGAAGACCACAAAGTCTTGCAAAGAAGCCCTTTGTGCCAGGCTGGCTGATGGCAGGGACTGGTCAAGCACAGTGTTACCTTCTCGTAGTACTTGATCTCGTACTCCAGGATGATGCCATTGGGCTGGTCTGGCTCCTGCCACAGCAAGGTGACACTGTTCTGGCCTGTGCTCTCCTGGTGCACCACCACCACCTGTGACGGGGCTGGGGATGCAGACACAGGGTGTTAGGTGTCCTGTGTGGAGGGAGCAGCAGGAGAAGGTGGAACTGGATTTAAACCTGGTTTAAACCAGGTTTCTGGTTTAATTAAAGCCATATGGAGACAAGTGCTATGACAGGGATGGCAAACAGGTTTTTCCTTGCTTCAGTTGCCTCAATCTCTTTCCCATGGAGTAACTGAGCAGCTCTAAGGAGATGAGAGAGGAGGGAACTGTCCCAGCACAGGCAGGAGGGGACACTGAGGCTTTGATCTGCAGTCAGAAAGGAGAAGGGGCTGCAGGCTGGAGGTCATGGAGATCCCTAGCAGGACCCTGATCCCTCTTGTCCCATCTGGGGAAGGAGAAAGGAGTAGGGGAAGAGGGAAAAGGGAGATGATGCTGATCCCTCTTGTCCCATTTGGAGAAGGAGAAAGGAGGAGGGGAAGAGGGAAAAGGGAGATGATGAATTCCCAGAGGGGTGATCAGGGTCTGAGCATCAGCCTAAAGGTGCCCTTGGGGTGCTCTCCTGCTCTGGGACACTTGCCCCCTTCCAGGTCTGAGCTGGGAGCCTGTGAATCAGTCCTTGTACCTGCCATGCCTGAACTGGAGCTGTACCAGCTGGAGAAACCAACTCACCAGCCTCTTTTCCCATTGGGATAATCCCCCCTGGAAGGACCCAGATAATCAGAGGGTGCTGTGCTGGCCTGGTGATCAATTGGGTCTAACTCATAGGAAAAGTTTATACACTGCTTGTGGTCCCTAACTGCCAGGTGAACACTGGGATGTGGTGGTTCTGGGGAAGACAGAGCTGCCATGGATGTGGCTGGGG